TTCCTTCAGAGCGCCCGTCGGAGTGCGGCGATGAGTGCGTGTGACACTGGGAAGTGTTGCAGAGAGGCGTGTGGTGATCGGATGAGACAGGAGGGTAAGATTGAGCTGGCAGCGGTGTAATTGGTTTGTATGATTGCGAGGAGAATAAGACTTGAGCGCGCAGAGGAAGGGGTGTGGAGGGGGAGGGCATTGACAAGTACTCGAATCGATGATGCGGCGATGATTGGGGATTTAGTCCAGTGATCCCGCAGTTATCAGCGGGCTGACGTGTCCGAAGCGGAAGGCCGAATGCTGTTGATATGATAAACAAGGAACGGCGGGGTCGAGATGACTTCACCAATCTGTAGGTATCGGGTATTGATTGATTTGATTGAACGGTGGTTGATTTCCGCGTCGTATCTCTCGCGATTTGCGCCCAGATTCATGATGAACGACGCACGAGAAGTGGCAAATGGAAAGCCACAAGTTCTGCAAGGTCGTAAAGGTAGTTCATGATGAACGATGAAGAGAAGTGGTCAATGGAAAGCCAACAGTGGTTGATTGATTAGCTGATTGATTAATTGATTTCGGCTATTGTTTGTGTGCCTGCTTCTGAGGACTTGTGGGTGCCGCTGATTGAACGGTGGTTGATTGATGATATGTAGATCTGGCACTCGCACTGGAAGGTCGGTATGTAAGTCGATAAACAAGCGTAATGATGAGAATCACGGTTAATCACGGACATACGCTATGGTTCTGTTTTTGTCGTCTACTCGAACTGTGTGATTTTCATATACGAGTTCTGCATTTCCCCCCCTTGGAGGTGGGTGGGGAAGGGATGGGGCGTCCTTACGTGACGAGTAGGTGAACCGTAAAGCATGTGGGTGCCAAGGCGGTCGCTGCATGAGGGACTCTGGATAATGGGTGCGTGCGTAGGATAGTCTTTAATTACATGATGATGATGATGATGATGATGATGATGGTGGGGATGACGATGATGGTGGTGATGAAGATGGTGGTGAGGAAGATGATGGTCGGCAGGTACTGGCAATGATGGGAGGAGTTTCGCTGGAGATGGGGAAGGTGACGCAGAGATGATGGTGATGATGACGATGATGGTGATGATGAAGAACCGTTATGATGACGGACATGATGAAGATGATGATGATGATGGTTGGTTTGATGGATATATGATGCGAATAGGAGTTTCGTTGGTGATCGTCCTGGTGATGACGACGCTGATGATGGTGATGATGACGATGTCACGTAATGATCAGGAGGGGAAGAAGGAGAAAAATCCTTTCCAACAACGATGATTAACAACGATGGTCGTCCACCACACGTCGATGCCATGACGAAAATGCATCGGAAGGTCACGAGTGATAGAGAAATCTTATAGTAGCTTCATCAGCTTGTGTGTGCTAATGAATGAATTATTACTTTTTACTCTTATTTTAATATAATTAATAATTAAATTAAGAGACTGCAACGTAGCAGCAGGGCGCACCGGACCGTGACTACATAGCGTCCCCTGATCGAAGATGCATCCGTAGAGGCATTGGGAAAAAAAGACGAAAAAAAAAGAGCAAAAATGAATGCATATCGTTCCTCAATTGGAGATGCATCGGGGGGGGGGTTACGAGTGATAGAGGCCTTGGAAAAAGAGCCTACGAGCCTACGAGCTCAGTTGGTACACGCCCAATGAACTGTTGAATTTTAGACTCACAGTTCGAATCCAGCTGGGTGCGATCAGATGGACTACAAAAAAAAAAAATCATTCTGAATTACCTGGGGCGGATCAGCTCAATGACGATATCTCAACACCGGCTTCCTTTTTTATATAATAAAAAGAGGAAATGAGAAGAAGAAGAAAGAGCAAAAGTGAATGCATATCGTCCCCCAATCGGAGATGAATCCGAAGGTTGTGAGTGATAGAGTCAAATTGGAAAAAAAAAATGAAGAGAAAATAGCAAAAGCATGGTAAGCGTGGGAATGATGAGGAATAAGAGGAGGCTATATATGCGTCGCTGCATGAGGTGGAGAGCCTGGCTGGGGAATTAGGCCACATACTTAGACTAAAGGGCTTTGTCAATTGAATCTGGGCGCAAATTGAGTCAGATACGTTGCGGAAAGTCGGGATTGTGAGTACGCGACTCTCCTTCGTAGTAGCCAGAGAGATTCTTCCGGAGAGAATCGGCAGCAGCTCAAGCGGCGGCGACTATTTGCTATTTGCGGGCCGGACAGGGTTGTCCTTCAACAACCTTCCTTACCCTTGCTTAGTGTGGCTCCTTCGTGTTTGAATACCTCGAGGGCCGGACAGGGTTGCGTGATGACGACGAAGTGAAATGCGGATGGAGGATTGAATGTGTGTGTGTGTGTGTGTGTGTGTGTGTGTGTGTGTGTGTGTGTGTGGTGTGTGTGCAGACCTACCTACACTGAATTTCAGCTCTCTGTGTCTCTTTCGTTCTCTCTCTCTCTCTCTCTACAAACGTGGCTACAATAAAGTGGACTGGATGATGGCGATGATGTAACAAAGAAGCGATGATGATGCATGATTGAGAAGATGAAAAGCAAGAGCAAAATTTTGAATAAAAGATCAAATCATGTTAACGATGATGGTGGCGATGCTGCTGGTGCTGGTGCTGATGATATCAGAAATCACGTTATGATGATGATGATGATGATGATGAGGAGGAGGAGGAGGAGGAGGAGGAGGGAGATGATGATGAAGAAGATGATTGACAAGAATGGGGATGATGATCATGGCGGTGGGTTGTAGAGGTGGTGGAGATGGTGGCGGCGAACGGGGACTCAATTGTGTGACCATGGAGTTGCTGAGGTAATCAAGTAATTAATCAAATACCGTACCCCGAACACAAGGCACCGCTCAATTTGCCTGCACCGGACCGGAAAGATAGGTTGTATACATTCGTTGTCAGGGTGCGTTGTGTTCGGGGGAAGACTGTAGCGTGTGTAATCGATCTATGCAGAGGAGATAGCTGGTGACGGCCTATGGGGGTTTCTGATCGGGCTCGAGTTTTGCTATAGCCTCCTGATGAGTCGGTGAAACTCCGATGGAACGGTTTGTCATAGCCTCTCGTTTGTTGTCCCCTCTCCTCCCTCTCTGCCGTCTGTTTAATCGGGCAGTTTTGTTTGACGATATATGTATTTCCTCCTTTTCTTTACCTCTTTTTTGCCTTCTGGCTGCGTGCAAGTGGGTCCTTGTGACACACGGCGATGGGGGAAGCCGGTGCTCAACCATCATCCACGTGGCTGGCCTTGTTCGTAAGAGGTGATGAACAGGCGGAGCTTTCCAACCTTCCTTCTTTCCTTTTTCTGTTTTGTTTTTTTCCGCCTTTGCGTTCCGATACAGTGTGACGATGTATATAGTCTAGTATAACTAAGTATATAGTATAGTATAATTAAGTATATAATATAGTATAATTAAGTATATAATATAGTATAACTAAGTTTAGTTATTAACGCAAGATGCTGTGGAGGCGATTGGAGATTATGATGGGTGGTGTGTCAATGGTGAACATGACGAGGACCGATGAAACGATGATCAACGATAAAAAAGACGATGATGGTGAAGGTAAGGAGGATGTTTGGTAGGGCTAGCGATGGCGGTGGAGGTGAAAGAAGATGTGTATCATACTGTAATTATTGGGTGATGGCTGGGTGTCGTGACTCGTGGATGGAAACATGATGAACGTAAAAGCA